CATCCAGGACTCAAGTCCGACTATAAAAAATAACCGGTTTCCCTGAATCCCTTCACTAAATATTACCCTGCTCACACTCCAACAGATCGTCAGGTCCCAAGTATCATTCGTCTCCATTCACTCCTATCTAACATGCTCATGCACGCTTGCTGGAAGTCCAAGCCCCTCGCCCACAAAACCTCCTTTACCCCCTCTTTCCAACCCTTTCGAGGACGACCCCTACCCCTCTTTCCTTCCCCTATAGATTTACATGCTTTCCATGTCATTCTACTTTGATCCATTCTCTCTAAATGACCAAACCACTCAACAACCCCTCTTCTGCCCTCTGACTAATGCTTTTATTAACTCCACACCTTCTCCTAATTTCCACACTCCGAATTTTCTGCATAATATTTACACCACACATTGCCCTTAGACAGGACATCTCCACTGCCTCCAACCGTCTCCTCGCTGCTGCATTACCACCCAAGCTTCACATCCATAGAGTGTTGGTACTACTATACTTTCATACATTCCCTTCTTTGCCTCCATAGATAATGTTTTTTGACTCCACATATACCTCAACGCACCACTCACCTTTTTCCTCATAAATTCTTGATTAACCTCATCCTTCATAAATCCATCCGCCGACACATCAACTCCCAAGTATTGAAAACATTCACTTTTTTCCATACTCCTCCTCCCCAATTTGATATCCAATTTTTCTTTATCTAAATCATTTGATACCTTCATCCCCTTTTCTTTTTCTATGTTCACTTTAACTTTCTACCTTTACAACATTCTAAAAACTCATCCACTAACCTTTGCAATTTTTCTTTAGAATCTCCCATAAGCACATTTATCATAGCAAAAGTAACTGTGTCAATTCCCATTTAAATTTGATTCCCATAATTTAATTTCCCACCCTCTCCCGAAACCCTAGCATTTACTTCTTTTCAACCCCATCTATAAATATATTAAACAACCATGGTGACATTACACATCCCTGTCTAAGACCTACTTTTACCAGGGAAGTATTCTCCCTCTCTTTACACACCCTAACTGGCCTACTATCCTCATAAAAGCTCTTTAAAACATTTATTTAAACTTACCACCTATTCCATAAACTTGCAACATTTTGCCACATTGCTCCTCTATCCACTCTATCATATGCCTTTTCTAAATCCTAAATGCATTAAAAATTCCCTACCTTTATCTAAAATTTTCTTTTCGGGCAAAAAATTTTATTACATTATTAAAAATAATATATATTATATTTTTATATATTTTTAAAAATTTAAATTTTTTATATTTATTAAATAATATTTTTTATATATTTTTTATTTTATCATATTATATAATTTATATATTAAATTATAATATATATATATAAAAATTTTTTTTTATATATTTATAAAAAAAAATATAATTTTATATATATATATTATTTTTTCAACAAACCGGCCATATCGCACCAAGGCAGGGTGGCCCAAAAAGAAAAACAAAAGTTTCTCTTCTTAAATTTAGTAATTTATACAAGAGAAGGGGTTACTAGCCCCTTGCCCCCGGCATACTGAAATATATACAGTGGAACCTCAAAAATCGAACGTATCATATATCAAACATTTCGAAAATAGGACCATTTTTTCGGACAAACTGTGTCCCTATTATCGAACACGCCCCTATTTTCGGACCGCCGGGCACGGGACATGTCCGCAGGCCCGCTCTGTCCGCGTCCCTGCACAGGTGCCGTGAGCAGTCTAGCTTTGTTTATGCTTGAGTGAACACTAACCTGCGCCCTCATTCACACATTTTATGATTATTTCGTTGTGTTTAGTGCTTGTGGGACTGTGAAATAAGCTGCCATGGGCCCAAAGAAACTTGCTAGTGGTACCCCTGTGGTAAAGAAAGTGAGAAAAACCGTAGATGTGAAGAAGGAAATAATAAAGAAGTATGAGAGTGGTGTGAGACTTGTTGAGCTTGCCAGGATGTATAAGAAAAACAAGTCGACCATCGGTTCTATCCTGTCAAAGAAAGAACAAATCAAGGAAGCTGATGTTGCGAAAGGTGTTAATATGCTAACCAAAAAAAGACCACAAATAGTTTATTTATTTATTTATTTATTTATTTAGTAATTTGAGCATACATACAGAGGTACAAAAAAATACAGGTAAGAGCAGCATGCCAAAGCCACTTATATGCATAGCATTACGGGCTGGCTTAAAATTAACTTAAGATTAACTAAGCAATGATGAAATCAGTGATAAAACATTATTGTAAACAGATAACTATAAAGCACAAATGAGTATTACAAAGACAGGTCATATGGTTGCTTGCATTGCTGTACATTCAGTCGAATGGAGTATTCTGTTAGGTAGTGTATTTAAAAAATAATAAAGTTAGACTGGGTTTTAGGTTTAACATTTATGTGATATAATTGTGAGAAACATTTAAGATATACAATTTATAAGGTTCAGTTATTCAGTATTTATTTGGTTTTGGGTGGGTAAGTGATCTTTGAGAAGAGACTTGAATTTATAAACAGGTAGTGTTTCTTTTATATTTACAGGTAATGAATTCCAGATTTTAGGGCCTTTTATGTGCATTGAGTTTTTGCATAGCGTGAAATGGACACGAGGAACATCAAAGAGTGATCTGTGCCTTGTGTTATGGTCATGGTTGAAGAGGTTGAGAAGTTGTTGCTGGTGTGGATCAAGGATAAAGAGATTGCAGGTGATAGTGTTTCAGAGATGATTATTTGCAAAAAGGCAAGGAAGTTGCATGCTGATCTGGTACAGAAAACTCCTGGAACCAGTGCTGATAGTGAATTTAAGGTCAGCAGAGGCTGGTTTGACAGATTTAAGAAGCGTAGTGGCATACACAATGTTGTAAGACATGGTAAGGCAGCCAGTTCAGACAAACGGGAGGCTGAGAAGTTTGTACAGGAGTTTAAGGGGTACACAGACAGTGAAGAATTCAAACCTGAACAAGTGTTTAATTGTGATGAAACAGGCTTGTTTTGGAAGAAAATGCCAAAAAGGACCTTCATCACACAGGAGGAAAAGGCACTGCCAGGACACAAGCCTATGAAAGACAGGCTTACTCTTTTGTTCTGTGCTAATGCTAGTGGTGATTTTAAAGTGAAGCCTTTACTTGTGTATCATTCAGAAAATCCCAGTGTGTTTAAGAAAAACAATGTCTTTAAGAACAAGTTATGTGTCTTGTGGAAAGCTAATCATAAGGCATGGGTCACAAGACAAATTTTCAAAGAGTGGGTCTATGAAGTGTTTGGCCCCAGAGTGAAAAAATACCTCCAGGAAAAGAAACTGCCATTCAAGTGCCTCCTGTTAATGGACAATGCTCCTGCTCATCCTCCAAATTTATTAGACCTCTTGTCTAAGGACTTCAATTTTATAATAGTGAAGTTCTTGCCTCCTAACACCACTCCTCTCCTCCAGCCCATGGACCAGCAGGTCATTTCTAACTTCAAAAAACTCTACACAAAAGCAGTGTTTGAAAAGTGCTTTGAAGTGACAACAGACACTAAGTTGACCCTAAGAGAGTTCTGGAGGAATCACTTCAACATCTACAGCTCCATAAGCCTTATAGGTAAGGCTTGGGAGGGAGTGACTTCCAGGACTTTGAACTATGCTTGGAGACAACTGTGGCCAGATTGTGTCCAAAAGAGGGATTTTGAAGGGTTTGAGGCTGACCCTGACCCTGACCCAGCTCACCTTCTGCCTGTTGTGGACTCTATTGTGGCATTGGGGAACACCCTGGGGTTGGAGGTGAGTGGTGAGGATGTGGAAGAGTTGGTGGAGGACCACAGGGAAGAGCTAACCACTGAAGAGCTGCAAGAGCTTCATCTGTAGCAGTATCAGATCACAACTGAGGAACTTGCTTCAGAGGAGGAGGAAGAGGGAGTGGATGAGGTGCCTTCTTCAAAGATTAAGGAGATTTGTGCCAAGTGGAATGATGTCCAAATGTTTGTGCAGAAGTACCACCCTGAGCAAGCTGAAACAAGCCATCTTTGCAACAAGTTCAGTGACAAAACCATGTCCCATTTTAGGGAAATGGTAAAGAGGCACCAGAAACAGAGGACTGTGGACAGTTATTTTGTGAGACAGGGGTCCAGTGACTCTCAAGCTGGTCCTAGTGGCATTAAAAGACAGAGAAGGGAAGTAACCCCAGAGAGGGCTTTACCTGAAGTCCTCATGGAGGGGATTCTCCTTCCAAACACTAACCCCAACTCCCTCTCTCCTCCTCCCTATCTTCCAGATGTCATCACCAATCTTCAATAAAGGTAAGTAAAAATGTTATTTTATATGTATTACTATACATAATTAAAAACTATAGTATTTGTTGTATGTAAAACTGTAATTAATCTCTATAAAATGTATTTTTTTGTGTGAATATTTTTGGGTTTCTGGAACGGATTAATTGTATTTCCATTATTTCTTATGGGAAATATTGCTTCGAATTTCAGACTTTTCAAATTTAGAACTAGCTCCTGGAATGGATTAAGTTCGATTTTTGAGGTTCCACTGTACTTTATTATTTATATTAGTAACAAAGCTGTCATTTTCAGACCTGTCACTACTGATGCAATATTTAGTAAATCTGAAAATTTTATATGGCACAAATAATATAGCTTATAATAGAGTAGACTCAACATCTGTAATTCAATATACTGTTCAAGTTTAAAAAAGACATTAAGTAATGTTTATTAAATAGTTAGAATTAAAATTTGGTTAATTTGCCAAATTCCTATTAAGTTTACCCTAGTCAGCATACAGTAGAATACGTACTGTAAAAGGTGCCAAATACAGATATTTATTAATGGGTTCTACACCTAGGATGTGCCCTACAACATTACTGCATTATCCTTAAATAAATGTTATGCTTTAAGGTTAAATATGTAAAACACACAGATTAAAACAAAAATAATATTTGATATAGTAGAACGCCAAAGGTTATAAACTATAATGAACTTGAAGAATTAACAAAATGCCACATCATACCTGTAAGAGAAGGCCCACTGCATTAGTCACACTCATCGATACATCCATCAACAGTATACTGTATGTAAGCCATGTGCTGTAAGCAATTACAGTAAATAATATTAGCCAATACAGTAACTCTACATCTCATCAATGCACTAATTTAAGTACTGTATCAATCACTTCTATATTAATAAAGGGCATGCAAATATGAATTAAAGAACACTACTGCAATGTTAAGTATTATTTATTGAGAAGTGCTAAGAATCATACAGTGCCTAGGGAATGGGAGACATCCAGATTAGATCTGAGGAAGGGGAGGACAAGTCCAATCCCTTGGATCAAGAAACCCTCACCAGCAACAAAGAACCTTCCATGCGAGACAGCTATATTATGAAATCATTTCACACAACAGGAGTTTTATTAAACACAGTTATATAAATCTTCTTTCTTTCAATGCACCAGCTGTATCCCACTGAAGCAGGTGGCCCCAAAATAAAAATGAAAGTTTCTCTTTATAAATTTAATAATGCATACAGAAGGGGTTACTAGCCCCTTACTCCTGGCATTTTAGTAGCCTCTTACCACACGTATGGCTTACGGAGGAAGAATTCTGTTCCATTTTTCCATGGAGAAGTTATATAAATATTGTATATCAATATTTATTCACATGTATGTCTGGTGAATTAATTTATGTTAAGATATGTTAATTTCTTTTTTTTCTACTATTTACCCTCATTCTTTAGGCAATCTACAGAACCTTACCCCAACATTGCAATTATTGTCCATGCATTCGAATTCATCTGCAGTTAGTACTATAAATACTTTAATTATGCACCCTATACCCATCCTGTAGGCTTTTAGTCAAGTTCAGACACACACACTGGATTACTGATCTAGGATTCAACACTGTTAGCTATGCGAGTTACATCAGTAAGGAATTATTGCAGAATACTGTAATAGACTCAGAAGCAAGGAGTTTGTTACAAAACTAGTGAATTAAAGTACAGTGGTACCTCAAGTTTCGAACAGCTCCCAACTCGAACAATTATGTAAGAGTATTTTTGTAAGTGCTTTTGTAAGTGAATTTTTGGGGGTCTGAAATGGACTAATCTAATTTACATTATTCATTATGGGAACAAATTCGTTCGGTATCAGCACTCGAACAGCCTTCTGGAATGAATTAAGCTTTAACTCGAGATACCACTGTACAATAAAATATTTCATTGTTACACACTTGTTTAAGGGACTGAATTAAGTTGAAAAATAAGTTGAACAATTCCACATGCTGGTTTAGTAATGTAGTTTCAAGCAAAGAAAGCACTTGCTACTTTAGTATTATTCTTTGCTACAGATTCTGATCAATTCATACAAAGCATGCTCAAGGAAACATTACCAAATTATTATTACTATTATTATTATTATTATTATTATTATCATCATCATCATCATGTCACAAAATTGTTAAACCAATAGGGGTGACTGTCAAAATGACATTTACTCACGTTGTGGAAAATACTCCTCCAACAAAGGGAAATCCTGAAATATTTCCTGTCGACCCTTGCTTGATGATCTTGCGACAGATGTCAATCCCACTTAAAAACTGGATAATTGTAACAGTAGTTGCAACTATTGCTATCATATCTTTGTAGTCTTCTAATGCCATGGTCAATGCCTGTTGTAATAAATAATTAAAAATTATCAAATAAATATAAAAATCAGTACTGTATGATATACTACATACATTAGAATGTACAATTTAGAGGAATTATGAAGTGTCTACTTTTAAACATGCCACAACATAAAAACAAAATATTTTGACAGAAATAATGCAAGTACATACTGTACTTGTATTTTTAGCATTTTCAGGTGACCTATAAATAGGTAATTATGTTAGTTGCCTGATAAAAGTAACATCCAAAAGAATGATCCCAATTCAAAGGTCAAGACTAACTGCGCTGAACTACATTTGTTTAAAAAAAATATTTGTGATTGAATATACATTTTTATATGCAGCTTAACTTAATCTATCAACTGGTATCTATCTAACTGTCATGTATATAGCCTTAATAAATTTTTCATTATCTGTCAGCTAGTGGAATGGGCACTTCCCAATTTAAATATACCTTACTACAGTGGACCCCCGCATAACGATGGCATCACATAGCGATTTTTCCGCATACCGCTTACTTTTATCGTAAAATTTTTGCCGCGCATACCGATTAAAAACCCGCTCACCAATTTTCGTCCGAGACGCGTCCAATGTGCCCTCAGCCAGCCTCACATGTGCCGCCCGTCCCATTGTTTACCAGCCAGCCTCCGCGGTAACATCCAAGCATACACTCGGAATATTTCGTATTATTACAGTGTTTTCGGTGCTGTTTCTGGAAAATAAGTGACCATGGGCCCCAAGAAAGCTTCTAGTGCCAACCCTGTGGTAAAAAGGGTGAGAATTAGTATGGAAATTAAGAAAGATTTTGAAGGGTTTGGGGCTAACCCTGAGAAGCCTATGCCAGTTGTGGAATCCATTGTGCCTACTTCAAAGATTAAGGAAATGTGTGCACAGTGGGTTGAACTGCAAACCTTTATGGATGAAAATCACCCTGACACAGCTGTTGCAAGCCGTGCTGGTGACTATTTCAATGACAATGTTGTGGCCCATTTTAGACAAATCGTAAAGGAACGGGAGGTACAGAGCTCTATGGACAGATTTGTTGTGCGACAGAGGTCCAGTGACTCTCAAGCTGGTCCTAGTGGCATTAAAAGAAGAAGGGAAGTAACCCCGGAAAAGGACTTGCTACCTCAAGTCGTAATGGAAGGGGATTCCCCTTCTAAACAGTAAGAAGATAATGCTCTCCCCTCCTCCCATCCCATCAATCATCACCAGATCTTCAATAAAAGTAAGTGTCATGTAAGTGTGCATGCCTTTTTCAGTTTGTGTGTATTAAAATTAATATTTCATGTGGTAAAAAAATTTTTTTTTCATACTTTTGGGTGTCTTGCACGGATTAATTTTATTTCCATTATTTCTTATGGGGAAAATTCATTCACATAACGATTATTTCGCATAACAATTACCCCTCTTGCACGGATTAAAATCGTTAACCGGGGGTCCACTGTACTGGGATTTATTGGATTATTCTGGGTTTATATCTCATCTTTAATTAATAATGCAGAGGCCATCTTTCTTCATTTTCATCATCAACTTTACATCCGTACATCCTACTGAATACTTTTATGAACTTTTTTAGACGATTTAAAAGAAAGACTCAGAGGAAATTAATTTTTCTTATAAACATGTGATGATTTGCCTAAATTTATGCTTCTCAACCAGACTTTGGTAATAACATTAAAAGTTAAAAATAATTCCAAACGTGTGTCTGTTCATGCACAGCACGACCCCATACGGAGGCAACTGAGAGGATATATACTTGTCTGATACTCAAATTAAGTCAAAGTTAAAACAGTCACAAACATAACTTATATACTTGTACACTTGACAGACTGAGCTGCCAAAACATCTTCATCTAGCCATTTAGGCACCTCATAGTCTTAAGTGTTACAGTACTCAGCCGATAACCAAAGGATCCAGGTTGAATCTTGGGCAGGGGCAGTTATATGCAAGTAAACAGACACCTAAGAGTTGACTGGCGTGGGTCATATTGTGTGACTATCAAGTTACTCTAGGTTAAACCCACATAACTGATCACTAAAGTATACATACAACACTGTGAAAGTTTATATCATTATTTATATTTATTAATTATATGGCTATTAGTATTAATTATATTATTATTAGTAGTAAGTGCTAAACCCACAGGAATTGTACAGAACCTGGGAACTGAGAGGCAATTAGGCTCAACCCAAGGAAAGAGAGAATAAGTCCAATTCCTTGAATCAAGAGCATCATCAAGAACTGTCATATTTCCATTGTGATATTTTAATCTTGTCCCCCAGGCTGCGACCCACAACAGACAACTAATACCCAGGTACCTACTTACAGCTAGGTGAAGGACAGCAGGTGTAAGGAAACACCCGGGTTCAATCCCCAGCACGGCACGTTAGGTGTGTCGTGCCGGGGATTGAACCCGGACACTCAGTGTGAGGCGAGTGCGTTGATAACCACTGAGTTACAACTGAATAATGTCTGGAGTTTACGGAGGTACTAAAACGGCCATTGGCTTTAATTAAGGTCAGTATCGAACCTGCACCAGAACAGACCAACAATTATTCCCCTATAAGTTGACCACTGGAGCTGAGACTCAAAAGCCCAAGTTCTCAACGTCAGTATGGTCTCTGAACGGGAATTCTCCACACATGTCACTACATATCAGATAAGAACATCAGAAAATGAATGCGAGAACGGAAAATAAATCGCTCTTACTAATGAGTGTAATGCTGACAGGTTGTCAAGGATCCAAGTAGAAATAAGTCACTTGTCTGACTTTTTTGGGTTATCCTAAGTAATTTACAATGTGATAATTGTACTTATGTGTAGCCGTGTGTAATACACTCACTGAAAGACAGAGAAGATAAGAGTCAACAGGTGCTGGAGGCACCAGCGTCCACGACTACACTACGTGACGTCATCAAACAATGAAGAATCACTTGTAGTTTTCAAACATTTTACGGCATCGCAAATTTCAACTCGAAAATTGGAACGCAGTAGTTAAGTTTTAGTTTAATATGTTTATTATGGACCCCATACCCATCTTGTGGGCGGTAGTCAAACAATTGTAGAGTCATATAATGGGTCTAAAGACTTGGCCCCAAATGGAAATAAGTTTATTCATGTATACACAAATACAGTTACACACACACACCACACACACACACACGTCACACACATACACGTCACACACATACACGTCACACACATACACGTCACACACAAACACACACACACATACACAGGAGGCAGGATCCATACATAGCTTTAAGCAGAGGTACAATAAAGCTCATGGTTCAGGGAGAGTGACCTAGTAGCGACCAGTGAAGAGGCGGGGCCAGGAGCTTGGACTCGACCCCTGTAACCTCAACTAGGCGAGTACAACTAGGTGAGTACACACACCACACACACACACACACACACACACACACACACACACACACACACACACACACACACACACACACACATGTCCTATGAAGAAAGATTAAGGGAAATCGGCCTGACGACACTGGAGGACAGGAGGGTCAGGGGAGACATGATAACGACATATAAACCAGGGAGGGGACACAGAAACAAGAGGCCACAATTGGAAGTTGAAGACACAAATGAGTCAGAGAGATATTAGGAAGTATTTCTTCAGTCATAGAGTTGTAAGGCAGTGGAATAGCCTAGAAAATGACGTAGTGGAGGCAGGAACCATACACATACACGAGGTTTGATAAAGCTCATGGAGCGGGGAGAGAGAGGGCCCAGTAGCAACCGGTGAAGAGGCGGGGCCAGGAGCTAAGACTCGACCCCTGCAACCACAAATAGGTGAGTACATACTATACACACAAACTCACACAACAGGCCTAGTGTCTAATCGACATGTACCTAGGACAAAATGGTAACTAAGTAACTAACTAACTGAATTATCATACATAGCAACATATATGTAGAAAACCTAGGGTAACCCCATAAAAGTCACAGAGTGACATTTCCACTGGGGTCACTGACTTTTTGGGGTTTATCCTAGGTAATTTACATAATGTATGATAATTGTACTTATGTGTACCTGTGCTTAACTAAACAAGTTTTTTAAATTCCTCTGTTACCATTTTTTTATTTCATGCCTCGGCATGATAGTGATTTTCTTGGCTCCAATCATATTATTTGTAAATACACCTTAGCATAGAAATAAATATTTTATTTTATTTTATATATTTTATTTTTCATTTTATTATTTTGTTAATTTTGCATATAATACATATTTTTCAACATGTATGAATGTATTCTCCATACAAATGGATTCAATAAACTATTTTGAATATGAACGCTCTGTGTTTTCTCGGATTCTGTGAACATTCAAATCTAGTGGGGAATTTCCCTCTACACAAATTTGTCTCGCCCGCAGGATGGGTATTGGTGTATACCTGGAGTTTACCTGGAGAGAGTTTCGGGGGTCAACGCCCCCGCGGCCCGGTCTGTGACCAGGCCTCCTGGTGGATCAGCGCCTGATCAACCAGGCTGTTGCTGCTGGCTGCACGCAAACCAACGTACGAGCCACAGCCCGGCTGATCAGGAACTGTCTTTAGGTGCTTGTCCAGTGCCAGCTTGAAGACTGCCAGGGGTCTGTTGGTAATCCCCCTTATGTGTGCTGGGAGGCAGTTGAACAGTCTCGGGCCCCTGACACTTATTGTATGGTCTCTTAACGTGCTAGTGACACCCCTGCTTTTCATTGGGGGATGGTGCATCGTCTGCCAAGTCTTTTGCTTTCGTAGTGAGTGATTTTCGTGTGCAAGTTTGGTACTAGTCCCTCTAGGATTTTCCAGGTGTATATAATCATGTATCTCTCCCTCCTGCGTTCCAGGGAATACAGGTTTAGAAACCTCAAGCGCTCCCAGTAATTGAGGTGTTTTATCTCCGTTATGCGCGCCGTGAAAGTTCTCTGTACATTTTCTAGGTCGGCAATTTCACCTGCCTTGAAAGGTGCTGTTAGAGTGCAGCAATATTCCAGCCTAGATAGAACAAGTGACCTGAAGAGTGTCATCATGGGCTTGGCCTCCCTAGTTTTGAAGGTTCTCATTATCCATCCTGTCATTTTTCTAGCAGATGCGATTGATACAATGTTATGGTCCTTGAAGGTGAGATCCTCCGACATAATCACTCCTAGGTCTTTGACGTTGGTGTTTCGCTCTATTTTGTGGCCAGAATTTGTTTTGTACTCTGATGAAGATTTAATTTCCTCATGTTTACCATATCTGAGTAATTGAAATTTCTCATCGTTGAACTTCATATTGTTTTCTGCAGCCCACTGAAAGATTTGGTTGATGTCCGCCTGGAGCCTTGCAGTGTCTGCAATGGAAGACACTGTCATGCAGATTCGGGTGTCATCTGCAAAGGAAGACACGGTGCTGTGGCTGACATCCTTGTCTATGTCGGATATGAGGATGAGGAACAAGATGGGAGCTAGTACTGTGCCTTGTGGGACAGAGCTTTTCACCGTAGCTGCCTCGGACTTTACTCTGTTGACGACTACTCTCTGTGTTCTGTTAGTGAGGAAATTATAGATCCATCGACCGACTTTTCCTGTTATTCCTTTAGCGCGCATTTTGTGCGCTATTACGCCATGGTCACACTTGTCGAAGGCTTTTGCAAAGTCTGTATATATTACATCTGCATTCTTTTTGTCTTCTAGTGCATTTAGGACCTTGTCGTAGTGATCCAGTAGTTGAGACAGACAGGAGCGACCTGTTCTAAACCCATGTTGCCCTGGGTTGTGTAACTGATGGGTTTCTAGATGGGTGGTGATCTTGCTTCTTAGGACCCTTTCAAAGATTTTTATGATATGGGATGTTAGTGCTATTGGTCTGTAGTTCTTTGCTGTTGCTTTACTGCCCCCTTTGTGGAGTGGGGCTATGTCTGTTGTTTTTAGTAACTGAGGGACGACCCCCGTGTCCATGCTCCCTCTCCATAGGATGGAAAAGGCTCGTGATAGGGGCTTCTTGCAGTTCTTGATGAACACAGAGTTCCATGAGTCTGGCCCTGGGGCAGAGTGCATGGGCATGTCATTTATCGCCTGTTCGAAGTCATTTGGCGTCAGGATAACATCGGATAGGCTTGTGTTAGTCAAATTTTGTGGCTCTCTCATAAAAAATTCATTTTGGTCTTCGACTCTCAGTCTGGTTAGCGGCTTGCTAAAAACTGAGTCATATTGGGACTTGAGTAGCTCACTCATTTCCTTGCTGTCATCTGTGTAGGACCCATCTTGTTTAAGTAGGGGCCCAATACTGGACGTTGTTCTCGATTTTGATATTAAGCTAAAAAAGGTTAAATTAACACAAATTTGTTTTGGGGTAATACCCAAAAACGTTGGCACTAGGTGTTACAGCAGCACCTTACACCTTTCATTTTGTTTTGTATTGGTTTCCATATGAGCACTAGTGGTTCAGTATGCTGTACACTACTTAATTTTATAAAGGTCTATTGTTATATGTTAGTCTTAAGATTGCCCGAAATTCTCTGCATAATACCTTAAGATCTCTGGTGGCCTCGTAGTTGAAGCTCTCGCTTCACACGGCGAGAGTCTGGGTTCGATTCCCAGCCAGGGTAGAAACATTGGGCGTGTTTCTTTACACCTGTCGTCTACGTTCACCCGTCAGTAAAATGGATACCTGGGTGCTAGTCGACTGGTGTGGGTCGCATCCTGGGGGCCAAGATTGAAAGACCCCCCCCCCCAATGGAAATAAGACAGACAGTCCCTCCATGACGCTTTGACATATCCAACAGTCTCTTTAAAAATAATTTGTACGTATCTGTTACCCAGGCTTATATCACACCTCGTGCTGCTGTGACCGGGGGTTACACAGGTCACAATGGCTCTTTATCAGACCCCAGAAGGCATAGTTACATCACGAAAAAAATATATTACTCCCAATTTATATATATTGCAATTTCTTGATAGTTTATATGTACGTCCATACAGTTTGTATGTACGTCCTTACAGTTTATATGTTTACCTGGAGTTTACCTGGAGAGTTCCGGGGGTCAACGCCCCCGCGGCCCGGTCTGTGACCAGGCCTCCTGGTGGATCAGAGCCTGATGAACCAGGCTGTTACTGCTGGGTGCACGCAAACCAACGTACGAGCCACAGCCCGGCTGATCAGGAACCGACTTTAGGTGCTTGTCCAGTGCCAGCTTGAAGACTGCCAGGGGTCTGTTGGTAATCCCCCTTATGTATGCTGGGAGGCAGTTGAACAGTCTCGGGCCCCTAACACTTATTGTATGGTCTCTTAACGTGCTAGTGACACCCCTGCTTTTCATTGGGGGGATGTTGCATCGTCTGCCAAGTCTTTTACTTTCGTAGTGAGTGATTTTCGTGTGCAAGTTCGGTACTAGTCCCTCTAGGATTTTCCAGCTGTATATAATCATGTATCTCTCCCTCCTGCGTTCCAGGGAATACAGGTTCAGGAACCTCAAGCCCAAGAAGCTTATATATGTGTGTATATATATATATATATATGTATATATATATATATATATATATATATATATATATTATATATATATATATATATATATATATATATATAGTTATATTATATATATATATAATATATATATATATATATATATATATATATATATATATAACTATATATATATATATATATATATATATATATATTTTATATATATATATATATATATATATATATATATATATATATAACTATATATATATATATATTATATATATATATATATATATTTTATATATATATAATATATATATATATATATAAATATAATATATATATATATATATATATATATATATAACTATATATATATATATAAATATATATTTTTTTTTATTATTATTATCACACCGGCCGATTCCCACCAAGGCAGGGTGGCCCGAAAAAGAAAACTTTCACCTCATTCACTCCATCACTGTCTTGCCAGAAGGGTGCTTTACACTACAGTTTAAATAAAGTTTTTCTTCTTCTCTTTTTTAGTAATTGTATACAGGAGAAGGGGTTACTAGCCCATTGCTCCCGGCATTTTAGTCGCCTCATACGACACGCATGGCTTACGGAGGAAAGATTCTTTTCCACTTCCCCATGGACAATAGAAGAAATAAAAAAGAACAAGAGCTATTTAGAAAAAGGAGAAAAACCTAGATGTATGTATATATATATATGCATGTGCGTGTCTGTGAAGTGTGACCAAAGTGTAAGTAGGAGTAGCAAGATATCCCTGTTATCTTAGCGTGTTTATGAGACAGAAAAGAAACCAGCAATCCTACCATCATGCAAAACAGTTACAGGTTTTTGTTTCACAGTCATCTGGCAGGACGGTAGTACTTCCCTGGGTGGTTGCTGTCTACCAACCTACTACCTACATAAATATATATATATATATACATATATATATATATATATATATATATATATATATATATATATATATATAATATAAATATATATATATATATATATATATATATATATATATATATATATAAAATATATATATATATATATATATATTATATATATATATATATATGCCCATAAAGCTTATAGGTAGGGCCTGTGTATCCTCTATGTAGGCTCACGTAGCCTCTATATATTATTATAATCAAGGGGGAGCACTAAACCCGCAGGATTATGCAGCGCCTGGGGGGGGATGTGGAAGGTATTCAGGTTTAATTCAGGGAACTGGAGCATAGATCCAATTCCTTATATCAAGAGCCCCTCACCAACATCAAGGAACCTCCCTTGAGAGGTAGCCTCTGTTGGCTCATGTAGCCTCTATGTAGGCCCATGTAGCCTATGTAGGCCCATGTAGCCTCTATGTAGACCCATGTAGCCTCTATGTAGGCCCATGTAACCTTTATGTAGGCCCATGTAGCCTCTATGTAGACCCATGTAGCCTCTATGTAAGCTCATGTAGGCCCATGTAACCTTTATGTAGGCCCATGTAGCCTCTATGTAGACCCATGTAGGCTATATGTAGGCTCATGTAGGACCATGTAACCTTTATGTAGGCCCATGTAGCCTCTATGTAGGCCCATGTAGCCTCTATGTAGACCCATATAGCCTCTATGTAAGCTCATGTAGGACCATGTAACCGTTATGTAGACCCATGTAGCCTCTATGTAGACCCATGTAGCCTATATGTAGGCCCATGTAATGTACATATGGGCTACATGAGCCTACAAGGAGGAATACCTTGATGCTGGTGGAGAGGTATTCATCCGGGGAGGTTACAACTATACTCAAATCAAGTCAAGTTTATTCTCTATAAAGGTTACAATGCGGGGTTTACGTATTAGAGGATATTGTGTGGTTTACATATTATAAAACACTAATTACATAGAGGGACAATATCACACCTAGCATGACTAGGCATTTCGGGCAAACTAAGATTAATTCCAAACTCTATATTAGTACAGATTATGGAGGATGTTGGTATTAAGGCTAAGTAACTGCATTACAGTACGTAAATTTAGCAATATGAATGTTTTTGTATTGGTACGATACATAGTTTCTATTGAAGCTCCTATATTGGAGTATCACAGGCAAACTTATGACTAGTTTAAGATTCATTAGGTAATAGTTGTATTACGTATTTCTATTTTTTTTTTGATCAGACTTGATTACGTCCAATTTCCAGACGATGTATACCATATAGATTTTAACGCATCTTGCTCCTGGGGGATTTCAACTTAAGGCACCTAAAATGGAGGAATATAGCAAATAATATTGTTGCAGTAATAACACCAGGAGGCAGCTCTGATGAAAACTCACACTCACACGAGCTTTTAAATCTCTGCACAAAATTCAATTTAAACCAGTAAATAATATAGCCTACTAGACCGGAGAATACACTAGACCTCATCTTCACTAACAATGATGATCTGATAAGAAATGTCACCATATCAAAAACAATATACTCAGATCACAACATAATTGAGGTTCAGACATGTATGCGTGGAGCTCCAGACCGACATAATGAGACTAGTCACGAGGGAGCATTCACCAAATTCAACTTCAATAACAAAAACATAAAGTGGGACCAAGTAAACCAAGTCCTAACCGATATAAGCTGGGAAGATATACTAAGCAACACAGACCCCAACTTATGCCTAGAACAGATTAACTTGGTGGCACTCGATGTATGCACAAGGCTTATTCCTCTAAGAAAAAGGAGGAGTAGATGTAAAATAGAAAGAGACAGGCACTCCCTTTACAGGCGACGGAAAAGAATAACAGAGCGGCTAAAAGAGGTCAATATATCTGAAATGCGTAGGGAGACTGGTCAGAGAAATAGCAAGCATCGAACTTAAGCTAAAGGAATCCTTTAGGAGTCAGGAATCGCGGGAAGAACTAAAAGCCATAAATGAAATCGAAAGAAACCCAAAGTATTTCTTCTCCTATGCCAAATCAAAGTCGAGAACAACATCCAGTATTGGGCCCCTACTTAAACAAGATGGGTCCTACACAGATGACAGCAAGGAAATGAGTGAGCTACTCAAGTCCCAATATGACTCAGTTTTTCGCAAGCCGCTAACCAGACTGAGAGTCGAAGATCAAAACGATTTTTTTATGAGAGCCACAAAATTTGGTTAACACAAGCCTATCCGATGTTATCCTGACGCCAAATGACTTCGAACAGGCGATAAATGACATGCCCATGCACTCTGCCCCAGGGCCAGACTCATGGAACTCCGTGTTCATCAAGAACTGCAAGAAGCCCCTATCACGAGCCTTTTCCATCCTGTGGAGAGGGAGCATGGACACGGGGGTCGTCCCACAGTTACTAAAAACAACAGACATAGCCCCACTCCACAAAGGGGGCAGTAAAGCAACAGCAAAGAACTACAGACCGATAGCACTAACATCCCATATCATAAAATCTTTGAAAGGGTCCTAAGAAGCAAGATCACCACCCATCTAGAAACCCATCAGTTACACAACCCAGGGCAACATGGGTTTAGAACAGGTCGGTCCTGTCTGTCTCAACTATTGGATCACTACGACAAGGTCCTAAATGCACTAGAAGATAAAAAGAATGCTGATGTAATATATACAGACTTTGCAAAAGCCTTCGCCAAGTGTGACCATGGTGTAATAGCGCACAAAATGCATGCTAAAGGGATAACAGGAAAAGTCGGTCGATGGATCTATAATTTCCTCACTAACAGAACACAGAGAGTAGTCGTCAACAGAGTAAAGTCCGAGGCAGCTACGGTGAAAAGCTCTGTTCCACAAGGCACAGTACTCGCTCCCATCTTGTTCCTCATACTCATATCTGACATAGACAAGGATGTCAGCCACAGCACCGTGTCTTCCTTTGCAGATGACACCCGAATCTGCATGACAGTGTCTTCCATTGCAGACACTGCAAGGCTCCAGGCAGACATCAACCGAATCTTTCAGTGGGCTGCAGAAAACAATATGAAGTTCAACGATGAGAAATTTCATTACTCAGATATGGTAAACACGGGAAATTAAATCTTCATCAGAGTACAAAACAAATTCTGGCCACAAAATAGAGCGAAACACCAACGTCAAAGACCTGGGAGTGATCATGTCGGATCTCACCTTCAAGGACCATAACATTGTATCAATCGCATCTGCTAGAAAAATGACAGGATGGATAATGAGAACCTCAAAACAGGGATGCCAAGCCCATGATGACACTCTTCAGGTCACTTGTTCTATCTAGGCTGAATATTGCTGCACACTAACAGCACCTTTCAAGGCAGGTGAAATTGCTGACCTAGAAAATGTACAGAGAAACCTTCACGGCGCGCATAACGGAGATAAAACACCTCAATTACTGGGAGCGCTTGAGTTCCTAAACCTGTATTCCCTGGAATGCAGGCGGGAGAGATACATGATATATACACCTGGAAAATCCTAGAGGGACTAGTACCGAACTTGCACACGAAAATCACTCACTACGAAAGCAAAAGACTTGGCAGACGATGCAACATCCCCCCAATGAAAAGCAGGGGTGTCACTAGCACGTTAAGAGACCATACAATAAGTGTCAGGGGCCCGAGACTGTTCAACTGCCTCCCAGCACACATAAGGGGGATTACCAACAGACCCCTGGCAGTCTTCAAGCTGGCACTGGACAAGCACCTAAAGTCGGTTCCTGACCAGCCGGGCTGTGGCTCGTACGTTGGTTTGCGCGCAGCCAGCAGCAACAGCCTGGTTGATCAGGCTCTGATCCACCAGGAGGCCTGGTCACAGACCGGGCCGCGGGGGCGTTGAACCCCGGAACTCTCTCCAGGTAAACTCCAGTAGTAGTAAGAGGAGCAGGAGAATTAGGATGTTGTTAGATAGCAACTACTTGCGGGTCTTTTTTTTTTTTTTCTCTCATAAGGTTGGTTGGTTAATGGGGTTTAAAACCTATCGACTACACGAGGGTCTTAAGACTGCAGGTAACCTGTTCATCACCAGTCAACAACGATTTAATCCATAAGGGGTTGGGGGACTAACCTAACTTCCCACTGTACAGTATATTCTATTCTTTCACAAATCTGTAAGTTGACGGGGAAATCTTGCAACTATTGCTTACATCCAGTATACACTATATGTATGAAAATGTTTATGTATGTTTATATGTACATTTTCAGTTGTTAAATGAATAATGGTGAATTTATGTTCTTTTGTCTTTTCCTACCTCGGTGTAAATATATATCATTTAGATTATTAATAATCTTAGGGTGGACGAGTAAGCTAGTGGAAGGCCTCGGTCAGATGACCAAAAGCTGCAGTGGCTGGTCATCATACGATTACCACCTGCGTCAAGAAACACTTGTTTCCTGACGGATCTTATCTAACTTAGACTACCTCGGTGAGGCTGTGTGGTGTGAGGGTGCGGCAATGAACATTAAAAATGAAAACTTTAACTTTATTAACAATATGGCAGTAATTTACAGAGTATACAGAGCATCACTGGTGCACAGCAGCAGTGGTACACACAACACTGGGGCAAACAGTGGTACACACAACACTGGGGCAAACAGTGGTACACACAACACTGGGGCAAACAGTGGTACACACAACACTGGAATACATAACAGTAGTTCACACAACACTGGTGTACAAAAGTGTCCCCTCACAACACCTCCCAGAGCACTTCACTGTAGAGTACCATAAGGCTGTTTCTTCCCCATAAATCATTAGGTACTTCAGAGTACTTCCCAGAACTGGCTGTACATCCTCAGTGTTCATAATACACAGTCCTCACAGCACAGTATATCACTCTAGCACTGCACAATACCTTCAGATTTATACTGGCCCAGGTCGATTTTTTTCTCTAAAAATTGTTGGCTTGTTGTGAACTGTTCTAGTCATGATATCGTGATTTATATTTTACTGATATAGTATTTCATTACAGGAAAAAATATATGATATAATTCTTACACGATTATCAACAAATACATGAGGTCCTCCCGTATCACTCTACCTGCACTTATGTGCCACTGTAAGCTTATAACTACTACCCCTGGGATGGGATGGGGTGACTACTACAACTACCCACAGGATAGGCATGTGGTGCATAATAAAGTTATTAAACTATGGGCTAGGAAGTGGCACTAAGTACTGGTGTACTACTGGGCCAGGTAGAGGCACTACCCGGTACTGGTGTACTACTGGGGAAGGTAGAGGCACTACCCGGTACTGGTGTACTACTGGGGAAGGTAGAGGCACTACCCGGTACTGGTGTACTACTGGGGAAGGTAGAGGCACTACCCGGTACTGGTGTTACTACTGGGGAAGGTAGAGGCACTACCCGTACTGGTGTACTACTGGGGAAGGTAGAGGCACTACCCGTACTGGTGTACTACTGGGGAAGGTAGAGGCACTACCCGTACTGGTGTACTACTGGGGAAGGTAAAAAAAAGTCGGTTCCTGATCAGCCGGGCTGTGGCTCGTACGTTGGTTTGCGTGCAGCCAGCAGTAACAGCCTGGTTGATCAGGCTCTGATCCACCAGGCGGCCTGGTCACAGACTGGGCCGCGGGGGCGTTGACCCCCGGAACTCTCTCCAGGTAAACCCGGTACTGGTGTACTACTGAGGAAGGTAGAGGCACTACCCATTACTAGTGGTGTACTACTAACAGTAATAATAATAATAATAATAATAATAACAGGCCACCAACAAAGGTTTCCGTTTACATTTAACAAACGTGTTTCTGGCTTATTTTATGAGGCTGAAATCACAGTTCCTGTGAACTAGAACCCCACGTTGAACTGTCTCACTAAGACATGTCCACCATGAAGATTATATCAGGGGAACCTAACAATAAGCTTCACGTTGAGGAAGATCAATATTTCATGTGGTTCTTCAACTTTAAATAGCCAAAATATTCATTATAATATTGAAAAAAAAAATGAGAGAGATTAAACAAGCTCAGATTCGCCATCAGAGCATCAAAGTTAGCTTAAAACCAGCAATCTGGTTTCTTAACTAGATAAAAAGTTATATTTTGTTAGCTAGTGTAATGGGAGAGTGGGACATCAGCCAGGGTAGATGTTAGCTCATGGGTCCACCGTGAATGTTGATGGTAAGATGGTGTAAGCTCATGGGTCCACCATGAATGTGGTGATCGTAAGATGGTGTCAGCTCATGGGTCCACCTTGAATGTGGTCATGGGGAGATGAACGCCATCATTCGCTTCTCTCTCGGTGGCACCTAGTTCCGGGTAACTGACGTAAGAAGCATTGATGATGCCAGAGGAGCCGTCGTCAAGGTAGACGTGGGTGAGGGGCCTCCTGCTCCACCTGCAACACACACACACACATACACACACACGTTAATCATTGCTACATTTCTTATGATTCTGTGGTAATTATTTTAAACTATTTGCAACACTTTGGTATCTGCCGAAACTTTTCATCTGCACTACAGGCCTCTTCAGTCGAATACAGGAAAACACTGGAGGCAGTAGACATATTAGTTTTGATGTGATCAGTCCATCAGCCATAGTAGGAGGCGGTCAGTCCCTCAGGCCTAAAAACAAAAGCATGCGGCCAGACCTTATTTACCACACTAGAGCAGAAGTGAGATGTATCAGTTGGAGTTGAGGTCACAAGTGAGCATGGCCTAATAGTGGAAGTAGGTCATGCTAAACACATATTTAGCATTATTACATTACTATTAGTATTGGTAAATGAGTGGTAAAAGATTTCCCCTCTATCGCAGTATTGCTGTGTCAGACACAATAGTGCCTTGGTACCATGGTGTATAACATGCTCTTACCATTAATATTACTATCACTACCACCACCACAATTACAACAAAATTACTATGACTACCACTGCCACTACTATCAGTACTGCCGTCAACTGTATGACCACCACCACAATTACTGTTACAACTACTACTACCACTACTAATGTAGCTAAATGTAGGTCAACCACCACCACAACTACTACTACAACAAATACTACTGCTACTGCTAATCCCTTCCTCTATGTCCCTCACCGTATTATCTTCAATCCATCTTTATTTTCTTCACCCCCAGTTGTGACTTGACAATGATCCATGGCAGACTACCGTCGCCATGACGTCCTTCTTCCAAGTGCTGGTTTTTGGTAAATGATATAGAATTTTTTGCTTTAAGTAAGTGAACTATGCTTTCTCAAGGAGAATGCCTTGATGCTGGCGAGGGGCTCTTGATCCAAGGAACCGGGTGTTACCTCCCATTCCTTGGATTGAATCCGAATAACTCCCATTCCCTAGCCCCTATAGGACTGTAGCACTTCACCCTGATTTAAATAACACATTTCTGAACAGCATCAGTCTTTAATGGCTGATGCATTTTATAAAATGAATTTTTTTTTTGAAGTTTAGGCTGTGTAGGTGCATTTATTGAATAACGTTTAATTTACCAGTTTTATTAAACAAAAAATCCAAGCCTCTTACTTTCCCTGGGAATGATTTATGGGTTTGGAACCAATCCCTTTAGAATTTTCCAGTTTTAGATAATAATATATCTCTCTTGCCTATGTTCCAAGGAGTACAGGTCAAGGAACTTCAAACGTTTCCAGTAATTTAGGTGGTTGACTGAATTTATGCGAGCAACGAAAGTTCTTCGTTGGCAGTACAGTGGGTTATGGTATATTTTTTCCAGTCTTTCATATCTGTCAAAAGTAGTGTACCATATATATATATATATGCAATAAGATCACAGTAAACAGGTGATTTCAGAATATGCAAAACAACCACTGTGAAAAAATAGAGAAATTCCAAGCGCTTTCTTGACTACTCAAATTATCAAGGAACTATGAAAGTAAAGCTTCCAAGGAAGGTATATAAGGGGTCTGGCCAACACCTCACTATCTGATCCCACAACAGTTAAACACGTGACGCGCGCCGGCCCAACTGGACAGGTCCTTCGCACAACCCACCAACAAACTATTCTACCCAAGAAAATTTAAAAAATTATTATTTGTCCAGTGTATTATTAAATTCTTCCCAAATTCTATTAATTATAAATGGATCTAATTTATATAAACC